CCAAACCACATTCTCAGTTTGGAAACTGACTATTCTAAGTCCCATCAGTTACTGTTGCTGCACCTGTCAAGCTTTCGGTTCTCACATTACACATACAGCGTTTATAATGTTAACGTGGCAGATTCACAATTCAAATTCTTAATAATTTGTGAAACAATACGTCCTTCATTTCAGACAGAGATAGACAAAAACAAGCATCTTATTCTAGATAGCAACCATCGATCTTGTCAGCTGAAAAGATAACTGTAGCTAGCAGATTCTTATTAGCTGTAGCTAGGTAAGCTGATAAAGAGAGTGAAATTGAACAGAGTGAAGGAAGTGGTCTTTAAGTCTCTCGCCTGAGTGATGTCCAGGACCCTCTGTCCACCTGGAAACGCGCAAGTGTGTCCAGAGTATAACTGGATCAAAGTGGCCTGTGGACAGGCATGTCCTGGTTTCTCTGTAGTGTCTGAGGGTTTTTGGAGTTTCAGTGGACCCAAACATTGCCATGGACCTGAGGACAGACTAGCTAGAGAGAGAAGATTAAAGCTGATGATACACAGAGCAACTTTTAGAGCAATCGTGTAGGGCAACGTTGTCGTCAATGGTAATGAGAAAAGATTACTACCGTAATCCCCTTCCCCCACCCATACTCCGCCACCCGCCCCGCACCGCCATTCAAAACATAGTCGGACTTGCCGCTGCCAAGATTGCCCAGCAACATTGCTCAAAAAGTTGCCCCGTGTATCACCAGCTTAAGTGTACTTCTCTGTTTATTCTCTTTTCAAAATAATTGTAACTCAATTATTTGCTCAACACCTCAGTCTGTTTTTTTACCCTGATTGTACACTGCACTGTAACTTTAATTATATTTTAATGTGTATTTTTTCAATTTCCCTATGTTGCTTTTAAACTTTTTTATATATATATCCCTGGTGCTTTTATGTTTTATGTAAAATACTTTGAATTGCCTTGTTGTTGAAATACAAATAAACTTGCCTTGCCTTGCCTAAGCTAATGTTGGTTTAAAATGTAGTCTCCGGCTAGGTTGTAAGTGTTTTGTAATGTTTGGCTGGGGTTACTAGAGTATAAACTTTGTGGACCAGCAATGGGGAATTACTACAAAATGGATGTGCTATTGAAAACTGTAAATTGTAGCCCCACTGAATGTAGCTAATTAGTTAATCATAAGCTCCCTGGCCTTAGAATTAACACCCGGTTACTACTGTAGGTAGTAAGCTAGTTAGCCAGACATGCTAACATTAGTAGCATATGTTAATTCATTCTTTCTAATTTTCTAGATGTTTAACATTGCTATTTCACAAGCTCCACGGGCTGATGACACTGTAAACGCTGAATTACCCAAAGTATTTTTGCATATTCTGAACTTTCTCATGTCCCTGGTGAAAGTACTGTTCAACCAAGCATGCAATATTAAGGGTGTTGCCCACTGAGAAGTTAACTCCCTAACCTCGCACGTGCATCTACTGCAGCTCTGGTAGTTCTTCTGCAGAAAGTTTGAAATAAACACACTTAAGCATTCTTTTAACCACAACCAAACCACTTTACACAATGGTGAGACCCCTGAGGGATCCTGAAACACCACAAACACCCACATTAACACCCCCGCCCACAGACACACAAGCTCTGGCTTTGTATGTTTTCCATTGCTCTTTCAATCTGTGTCACAGGGCATCGGACAAGAGTAACTATGTCATGCTAATTTACATAATTAAGGTTGAGAGAAAGAGTGTGCACATCTGAGTGTATTAATGCATATGAGCGTCATCCATGTATGACATTAGAGATGGAGGACATTCTCATAGGGGTTGTTCTGAGAAGTGTCTGGGTCACTTGATTTCGGTGCATACAGAAACTTTCCAGCTAACTTCCTGTCTCCTTTAATGCTGTTACATGCACTGTACTTAAATGACTCTTTGAATGTGTGAACATTTTCTGGCCTTATAGATTTTAAGATTGTTGTTCATGAGTTCATGATGAGTTCATGAGTTCATGGTGACACAGCAAATGTTGTTCAGAACTTAAGCTGTCTTTCTGATCATAAGAGCAGGATAGCACTCAAAATGTTAAAGCACTTTATTCGATCCCCGTTCCACAACAGTTCCTCTACTGTGGTTCGCACCTGAGGGTTACACATGTGTGTGTGTGTTTGTGCATGTGTGTGTAACAAAAAAATTCCCCTCTCACCCCTTGCGGGGTGGTATGTGTCATCCTCAAACTCAGGTCCTCTACCAGAGACCTGGGAGTTTCAGGGTCTTAGCTGTTTCTAGGACTGCACTCTTCTGGACAGAGACCTCTGATGTTTTACCTGGAATCTGCTGTAGCTACTCTCCCAGTTTGGGGGTCATAACCCCCAGTGCTCCGATTACTACTGGCACCACCGTTGCTTTTACTCTCCACATCTTTTCTAGCTCCTCCTTCAGCCCTATTTTTCGAGCTTCTCGTGTTCCTTCTTCTTGATGTTGCTGTCGCTGGGGATCGCCACATCTATCACTACTGCCTTTTTCTGCTGTTTGTCGATCAACACGATGTCTGGTTGGTTATCCATCACCGGTATGTCAGTCAGGATCTTGAAGTCCCACAGGATCTTAGCTTGGTCATTCTCAACTACCTTAGGAGGTGTCTTCCATTTTGACCTTGGGACTTCCAGTCCATACTCATTGCAGATGTTACAGTACACTATGCCAGCTACCTGGTTATGGCGTTCCATGTACAATGTTCCTGCCTACATCTTACACCCTGCTTTTATGTACTGTACTGTCTCAGGGGCATCCTTGCACAGTCTGCACCTGGGGTCCTGCCTGGTGTGGTAGACCCCAGCTTCTATCGATCGTGTACTGAGTGCCTGTGCTTGTTCCGCCATGATTAGTGCTTCTGTTCTGTCATTTAGTCCAGACTTTTCTAGCCACTGGAAAGATTTCTTGATATCAACCCCTTCTTCTATCTGTCAGTGGAACATGTTGTGGAGCGGCTTGTCTCTCCATGAAGGTTCTTCCTCCACCTTTTCCTCACCCTCGGGTTTCTGCTACCTGAAGTACCTTTGGTGGCCATCTTCCTGATGTACTCGTGAATCTTGTTGTTTTTACACTCACAAGCCTCCCTTGCTCTGCTTAGTGTATAGTCTCAAGGTGCTGGATTTGGAGTGAAACCCTCCATGCATCTGCCAGTCATCAGATACCATTGGGGTATGCATTATTGGCTCGGATCTTGTTCTTCCTGTTCAGCTGACTTTTCAGGACCTGCCTTACTCTTTGTAGGTATTTGGCTGTGGCCGACTTCCTTGCTACCTCCTCATGGTTTCTGTTGACCCCAAGGTATTTGTAGCTGTCCTGAACATCTGCACCGTTGCCTCGGTTCTTATAATTTTCACTCTTTTTGATACCCCCCAACCACTCTTGTCCAGTCTGAATGACATTCCAATGTCGTTGCTGCTGATCCTGTTATTGTGAGCTCTACTCACAATAAAAGGATCAGTCGATGTCTCGCTCATTCCTGGCATACAATTTGATGTCATCCAGAGAAAGTGACTGATGGTTGTTCCAATTCAGAACCAGTATCATCGTGATGATCTGGCTGAGGGGGGTTCAGGCCTATGCAGAACAGCAGCGGGGATAGTGCATCACCTTGGTATTTGTTTCACTTGACAGTGACTTGTGCAATTGAGAGAGAGAGAGAGAGTATTGTATTTTATTTTCATGAAATTGTTTTTGACATCACTAATAAAAACAGAAAGCATTTTTTGTCTTTCCTTTTTATATTCTTCATTGTTTGTATTTGCATTGTTAAAGATTTTTATTTTATTTACTAAATTGTTTAATAGTTAATTTTATGGTAACCGTATTGCAAAAGTGAGATAAATCTTTTGAAGTATTTCAGTAAATTAAATATCTAAAGAATACGGGTACCTACCACACTGATGCAAAATCTGCATCCCTGCCTAATACAACCTGAGATATTAAAGGTATACTTATCTTGGTAGATATGGTATAGCTAAACATTTTGACCGTTAACACATTTCTTTTGTACTTTCACAGTGTTCTACTCCATTTAAAGTCTCTACACACTCCATGTACATTTTACAATTATCAGAGATGGGGACTCGAGATTAAGACTTGGACTTGAGTCCGACTTAAATCAGACTTGCTTGGGACTCGTCCTCAAAAGACTTCAGACTTGCCTCAGACTCGAGGTGCGGGACTCATGAACAATGTTTATATTTAGGAAACGTCTGATGAGTGTGCTGTTATTCTCCTTCCTGCGTTACCTGTAACCTACCTACCTAACACGTACTATGGATCTGCTGCGCGCAACCACACGTATGAGAGGACAACAAACATCAGCAGCTGCTGGAGGCATTCATCATAAACTTTGGCTTTAAAACTTCATACAACAAAGAAGAACTGAACGCAAAATAGGTTAGTAACCTGAGGTTAGTAAACATGTTTAGCTCAGCACTGTGTTAAAGATGAACTAGCTTACCAAACTAGTGGTGGTCGATTAATGTAATCATTTATGTCCCGCTGGCTGCCATCAGCGTTAATTATTAATGGAGGCTGCAAACAGGCTACAGGTTTATTGTTGATCATGGAATGTTACAGTTTTATTTAGTTAATGTTACAGTTTTATTTATTTAACGATACACTGGTTTGAGAGTCTGGGGAATGTGTTGACTTACAGTAGTTTAAGCTGTCATTGATTGCATTGCACATTACATGGTTGGGCTCTGTGAAAAACAGGTTACAGGTTTATTGTTGATCATGTAACGTTACAGTTTTATTTAGTTAACGTTACACTGGGTTTGAGAACCTGCTGTTGGTGTTGACAATGGGATAGGATTTGTCTGAAAATTACAGACAAATCCTATCCCATTGGAATTTTAAAGCTGTGAGTCAGTGACAACAGCAACTGAGCCTAAGCAGCAAACAGCTGTATGCTTATCCAATTGGCATTTAGATACCTGTACCAGCAGGCCCTGGGCGTCATAAGTATTCCACCTTTCCATTCAGCTTTAGGGCAAGTTCAGGAAAGAACGGTACTACAGTCAAAGCAACGGAGTATTGTCCTCCTTTGAGGACATTAACAGGGATGTTAAAATGCCCAAACTTTTGTTTTCAAAGCTTCGGTTCTATGAAATTAAGGATCTGATGCAAAATGTGAAGCGGCCCAGAAGGTAAGCCAGACAAACTAAAGATATTGAGTAATGATTTGAGTCAACAGTCTTACTTTTTTTACACTGTTAATGTGAAACTTTACATTAACTAGCACAAACTTTAACTTCATTTGCTTTTTCAGAATTGATATTGTTCTTAATCGAAAGAGGCATGAGATGAACATCCAGCGCCTCATGGCACAAAAAATAAATGATGAGACACATTCTTCAAAACTCAGGTAGTGAATGTTGCACTATTATTGATGTCTCAGTCTACGGGCTTTTCATTAGAGTCAAAATTAATACTCAAATCTCTCTTTATTACAGTTGGCACACTGACAATAAACTCCACCCGACCCTGGAAAAATTGCTACGGGATAAAAGTAAGAAATATTACAACAATGTAGTGCTCCTTTTCAGATAAAATACACTTAACAAATGTTGATGTCTGTTGGAAATCATATTTTAAAATTTGTTTCTGCAGTAAATTTAACCTTGTGATTCTTCTAATAAGAATAAAGAATCTTAAAATAATTACTTTTAAATCTTTCCCTCTCTACAGAATATTTAGTAGCATTCCGCACGTTCCTGCAGTCTGAGTTCAGTGAAGAAAACATTGAGTTCTGGCTTGCATGTGAAGACTTTAAGTTGAACACCTCGCCGGATAACCTTTGCTGGAAAGCAAAGGAGATCTACCAGGAGTTCATCCAGCCTACAGCCTGTAGAGAGGTCAGTTTGTCAGTGATACCAGGGTACATGGAAGAAGACAAAGATGGACGGATAAAATGATTACAGAACAGGGGAAATTATATTACATCAGAACAAGATATGGCCAAGCATATCAGCAAGAAGAATGTGTAAAAGATTCACAAAAACAGAATGAAGCAATATGGATGACAACTACATGTCACAACTTCCACTTTTTCTAGAGCTGTATCCTGTATATTTGTCAGTGTTGTTGCACTGAGGTGAAGAGGTTCAATAGCACTGTATCAAATTTCAATCCAGCGGAGAACAATTTTAGGTACCTACCTATTTTAGGTCATAACTAACTAAATATTTAAAAGCTTAAACATAACACAGTCTTGTGTTTTGCAGGTATCTTATGCTAAATATTTGCAATTCAGCTAAATGGCTACCTTCATATTTTGTACACTATTCTATGCTAATTTAAAAAAGTGAAGTACTTTGCCAACTCAGAAAACAGAACTGGCAAAATGGAACTGACTCTATGAGTCTGAGCTGTAACACACACACAAACACCCAGCTAGCTGCTATTTTAGGCTAGTACACATGGATTATATCACATGATTAAAGGAAAAAATGTGCTGTATCCAGTCAACAAAGCATTTTAGCAAAGAATTTCCAGTTGACACTTTGTCGTGTGTTTTCCATACATTAGTGTATGTGTATGACATCTGTGACTTGTGTTTAGCATAAAAAATCTAAAAACATATGTAGATCAGGGCATGTAGTATAGTACCTTTTTATACTGCGATTTAAGTTTGTTTTCTTTGGTGTTTATTACAATGGAAAAGTTTATTTTTAATTTAGTTTGTTTTCTACTAGTTACAAGGAGGCCTAACTTTGCCAACAAAATATTTTTTAGACAGGTTTGTTAATGTCTCCTCCTGCTAGATTTGAGACTGAACAGTCAACACAAAATCCAGTTTCAGTTCTTGTCACATTAGAAACAGTATGAAGGTCTTCGTGAGATGAGGTTGATCCAGAAGCGGCTAGTAAATTAAACTTGAGTTAAGATATGCTTTTATAGAAAAGGAATAGCTTAATGTAAGCATTATTATCAGAGGCCAAAATCTGTCTTCTTACAGCCATGAACACTTATGTTTTGAGGGTCATGTTTTGGAAAAGTAAGAGACACATTTCCAACCATCTTATCACTTGGTACACAAATCACCAATCAAACTAAAACAATTGTTTTAAAACTAATTGTTATAATTATTTTATAATAATTTATTTGGTGTAAATGGCACTGTATTCAGCATAATTTACTGTGTGATTTTTTTTGTTCCTTCTCTAGATTAATGTTGACCACTATATTAGAGAGAAGATCAAGACGTCTTTGGAGAAGCCGAGTCTCTCATGCTTTGATGAGGCCCAGAAACATGTTTACCTGCTGATGGAAAGAGACTCTTGCCCCCGATTTCTGCAATCAGATGCCTACCTGAGTCTGAAGCACAAATCCAGGACTCTTTGGTACATTTAGCTGAGAAACAAGGCCACTGTTGTCAACGCTGCTTTTTAATTCTCTCTTTTTGTCTTTTTTTTCCTATTTAGCTGAATTGAAAAGTTATTTCACAAATTCACACTGTATGAGAGGTGAGAGGTGAAGACAACGTATTGATGAAATGTGGTGGAAAATAATAAAGCAGGACAAATACCATGAAAGAAAAGTAATGTGAGTGGGAAAAAAAGAATGTACGTAGGGGAGAAAAAATTGATAGGTTCTGATATACAGAACTTTAGAGATTTGATTGAAATACTGTATGTGTCAAGTGAAAGTCTTAGTAAGTTAAGGTGCAGTGTGCAGTATAATAGATGATGAGGGCATGTGAAAAGGGCAATGAGTTTTGACTTGTTGTTATTGTTGTTAAAGTTATGACTTTTGATATGAAATGGCACTATATAAATAAAAGTGAACTGAATGGAAGCAGTAGTTTTACAAAATCTTGACTTCTTGACCAACTTTTCACTACACATTTCAGTTGACGATTGTGGTAGTTTGCACTTGTCTATATGGGCATTGGGGGTATCTATTTTTTCATATACTTCTCCTGAAATTTTAGCAGGGTAAACGGTATTTGTGTAAATAAAAAAACTAAAAGCTGAGTTTCTGGTGATAGAAGTCAATGTAGCAAGTTATGACGTTGTCCAACCTACAATGCTGTGTGTCTAATATGCAATGAGCTTACTTAGAGAAGTCTTGTGGGTTTTAAATACATTACGGCCCATAGAATAATCATTAGATTGGCAATAAGTGCCCTTCTACCATAGATTCTTGCTTGAGGTTGAGGTGTAAAGTTGGCTGAGTGGATATGGCACAAGTCCAATAATGCAGCTCAGGCGTTTCTAAGACTATAACTGAGACAAATCAATACTACAAAAATAAATAGAAAAATAACTAAATGCTAAACTGTGAAAACTAAGAGATAACTCAGCTCTGGAGCAGACAATGTCCCTTTAACACTGGGGCTCTCTCTTTGCTGGCGTGTCTCTGTTACAAAATATGACCACAACTGCCTTTCAGGAACTCCAGCCTTCTCCTTTATACCCGCTGGGTCCTACTAAGACATTCATTAGTGTCTGCTAATCAGTTATTTCGCCAGAGATTAACACTGTTACAATTAAATTACCGAGCATACTAAAACACATTTCAGACAAGTACTTATTGAACAGGCAATTTAAAATAGCATTGCTTATTCACAACCCATCCAACACCCCTCCAACACTACCATACTTAGTGCCTTCCCCCAGGAACCCCTTTTTATAAGCCAATGGCACACTCCTGTGTGGTATTGTCAGTTCCGGGTCTAAATAGAGGAGCACAAGTGCAGCAGAGGAGAAACAGGTGACAAACAGGTGGTTTTGTTGCTAATGCATCCCTTTAAGCCTTAATATAATTTAAACGGGTGAGTTATATCAACATTTATCCCCTGTACAGTTGTCATGAAGGGGGAAATTAGCTATAGAGACCAAAACCATTTTTTACCAGTCTATAAACATGTTTATTTCTGCTGTAAAGATGGGCATTTTATCATGGGGGTCTATCGGGATTGGCTCTCTATTGGAGCCAGCTTTAAGTGGCCATTTGATGAACTGCAGTTTTTGCCACTTCCACGCTGGCATAATTTTTTAGCCCCAAAGGTAAAAGGTCTAAATGCTGTGGTATACCATAATAACTTGATACCACCCAAGCCTTGAACCATTTTTAATTCTGTTTCCATATTGTCAGACAACGGTTTATATTTATCTGACTGACTATCAAACTGAAGGCTTGGAGATGGACATGAGTCAAAAAAGAAAAAAGAGAACTTTCCACAGCTCACCCAGCAAGGAGATTCTGTTTTTGGTCACATGTCTGATATATCCTCTAATTAGGTGCAGAGATGACTCCACACACCAGCAAGACGGTTTACCAAACTGGAAAAAAGTAACCCCTGGGTAACCCTTGATCCCACTCCATTCTGTAAATGGCCTTATTCCTAAAAAGTGTGCCTTAAAAAGGAGTACTGAGGCAGCTAATAATAACTCAGGGGCTTAAACGACAACACTGGAGTCATCAGACAACCTGATGCGTAACAGATCAGCCTGAATGTGCTGCCTTGTTAGGGGAATAATCTCATCACCCACAGACAATGACGGCAGAGATACACAAGCGCTTTACTTGGAGAAATAAGATAAAGAAAGAGTTGTACTTTTGAAATGGAAATGTACGTTTGACACAGGAGACTGGGGTTTGCATCCTTAATCTTCCATGTGGTTCGATTTAGGCAACAGAAGGACTGATGGCTTTTTCCATATATTTCAAAGACACCTTCTTTCCTAACAATAAACAAGTGCTTTAAGTGCCTGAATATGAATTAGAAAAAATTTAATAACACATGCAGATACTGTAATGCAAGAGTGGTTATTGTAGGATAAACAAAAATATGTTGTCTCTGGATGTTTTACTGATAAATTTAGCAGCAACATTTTGTGACTTGGCAGGTGAGTTTCTAAACAAAATTCTCATTTCCTCATTATGTTTATAAAAAAAGTAGTCCGGGGTATTAACATTATTTTAAAAATGTATTTGCTGTTGCAAATTAGTATTACATAAATTCACTTTTGGGGCTGCTGGCTGAAACTATTAGCAAATTTCACAATAAACAGCTTGGTGAGCATTTATTATGCAGAGTGCAACAGTTATTTCAATGTCAAACGTCAGTAACTCTGAGTACACTGGGATGTCAGGGGTTGTTCCTGATAAATGACAATGGTCTCACATCTCCTGCTTCACATGGCGCACTATACTTCACACACAATCTGTCGCTGTTTTCTCACAGGCCATCACAGTTACCATGGCAGCGAAAAGGAAGTGAGTACTGTCAATGGCACGTTGTTAGTCAAGACAGTCACACTTGGGGAAACTTCACTATCTGATCTGGATGCTACAGGTTAGTGCATTGTATGGTACTTTCTATAAAGCTGTGTTTCCCCGTACAGTAACTGTAGACATAATAAAATATAAAAAAGACAGCTTTCAGTTCACAGTGTTTGGTGATTCTTCGTAACGCCTCAGTACTCATAACCGTGTTTGGGCAAAAGAGGGAGAGCAGCTTCAGTGAAGACAAGCCAAAGGGCAGATTGTAACAGGCATCAGGCCTGGGGCATCAGATGGGGATCAGAAATGACTGGCAATAGGCAAAAAGTCAGTCAGGTTTATGATAACAGGTTACCTTCTGAATGCTCTTCCTTCTTTTTCCTTCAGGTTTTCTGCCAGAATCTGCTGCCTCTTTCTAAACCTACTATAACTTGTATTGGTAGCACAGCATTACATTTACACTGATTAGTTTGTCAAGACAGGTAGCTCTCTAAGTATATGAAAGAGCTATGTTTAAATAAGTTATTTAATCTTACTACAATTAAACTAAAGAAGAAGATAAAGATTAAGATAAAGAGATCTTGTTGGATTTCTATGAGCATTGACCTAGTAACTAACTGACTGACACATACACATAGTGTTACATTTGCATTGGACCTGCACACCTCTTTACTTTATACTATACCATGGTCAAGAATGAGCAGAATAATGCATCTCAAAGTAAAAAGTGTAGAAACCCATCTGACCAAGGTCAAGTCAGAGGCAGATGGTGCAATTCTGTCCTGTCACACTTTTAGCCAAAGCTTAGAGTGGAGCCAGGAGAAGCAGCTTCATTTGCATGGATTTAAATTATTTCCTTCTAAACTTTCCATAGCCGCTTTATACATTAACATAACATACATATAAATACACTATCAAGATTTCTTGGCGACAACATTGACATTTTGCGACTAGAGCAAGCATATCTCCCATAATTGCTTCTGTACTAAGATGGCTTATTTTGTGGGTGCCATGTTGTCTCAGTAGGCACGTAGTGGGTGTTTCTGACACTTTTTGCTTATCATTTCTTAAAATGACCATCGGAAAAACACACCCACAGGAATTAGCTAGGTGTGCGGAGGTGTGAACATATCTGGGTTTGAACTTCCTTCTCAATCTTTTGTTTTATTTCTTCACACATCTACTTCCATCACATTACATGTGTAAAATCGAGGACAACAGTTTTTTCCGTAAGTGTGTGCCAACTTATTAAACAATGATCACATCTCTTCACTCCGCAGGCTTTTTACGCTGGAGTGTGGCCATTCAAAACTGCTATAAATACTTTTTACCTTTAGGCGTGGCTGGATGACACTTCATGCATACTACTTAGGTGCAAGCGTGCCCCCACCTTTAATATAAAATAAGAGTTTTGGATTGGATGTTGAAGCCTATAAATTCCCACAGCTCATTCTTCAGTTCCAGTCATCTACAGCAGCTTCTACTCCAGCGCCAAACAAAATATGTCATGGAGGAGCACTGATTTGGAGCAAACATATAATGTCAAAGGTCAGACCTACTAATGCTAATTTCAGCTAATGCTAGTCACTCGCCAAGAAACTGTCCAGTTCACTACAAGTTCTCACACCAAAACTCAATTTCTGGCCAAGCCTGGATATTACTCTTCACCCCTGTCTGCTCCCAATCCCTTGAACAACTAACAGGCTCAAATGTAAAAGGCTGTGGTCTGTCAAATATGTATGAGTCAGTGTTGACGTCGGAATTGGGATCCATGTTTATTATTGTAGTAGTTGACCTTGCTTGTTATGTCTCTCTCATGATTTAAGAACACTTTCTTCAATTTCAGGTAAATTAGCTTTGCAGAAATGAGTCTCAATGTCATGTAATTGTGACACAGATCTTTCTTTTCCTACATTTTCTAACAGATCACCTCACTAGTGTTAAATCTAAAAACATTATTTCCAAAGGAAGCCTTTCAATACTTGAGATGATATTTGTCATTCAAATAAAAATACAACACACCAACTTGCTACCCTCAATATAAGGTCTACAGTTTGACCATGCAGGAAGTGTTCATGATATTACGTTATGAATTTTTTTCTAACTTCCTGTCCCCTTGAGTCTCTGTTGCAATCAATTTGCTGTTTCCTCTTTCTTTCGTATGACTATAGCATTTGCGCCACATTTTTGAATTTCCCTTTGCGGGATCAATAAATGTTGAAGTAAGATGTTTTCTCACAAAGACAGAAATCCAAAGAGGCACGAAACAAAAGAACAATGCTTCGATTTGTCTTCGCTTTTCCAAAATACCAAAACACACAACCTGTGAAGGTCATAATTTGCCTATCACAGTCACTGTTATTGTAATTTGCATATGTGCTGCCACTGAAAGTAATATGAACACAGCATGCTTTCAGCCACAGAGACGGTTTAGCTCATCTAGTTAGGAGGAGGGAAGGATCTGTAACAGCAGAAGGAAAAGAAAGAAAGCAGAAAGTCATAATAGGGAGTAATGCATCAAGAAGAGGGAGGCATACATGCAGTACAGTGTGAGTATGTGTTGTTTCTAACAGTGAGGTAGGAGGAGAGGAGGAACGGGAGAAGGAGGAGGAAGGGGTGCTTCCTCTTCAGTCTGGGCTGAGCTGCTGATGTATTCCAGCAGCCCCAACCTTGGTATAAAAAGTCAGTAGCAGAGGGAACCCTCCTAAGTGTCTCCTACGCCGCAGCATGACCAGGACCGAGAGCCTGAGAGTGTGGACTTAACAAAACAATGCCCAGCCTAATTGTCGAACCACTCAACACTCAACACTTCATCATGGACAGAGATGACAGGAACAGAAACAAGACCATGTGAGTCAAATCTTTACTTTGACACTGTGCTGGGGTTTCCAGTAAATGTGCTGACTTGGGGCTTGATGAAAAATAGTTTTTAGTGGATGTATGTATTTAATTTGCAAAGTAATGTTTTTCGTTTTCTATTCTCACAACAAGCCTTTCAGACACAACAGCACACATATGAATATTATGGATGCTTCATCGTATCTCCTGAAAATAGTTTAAGTTAATAATGTCACCTAACTTTACTAGACCACATGCTCTGTTTTCTGATCACTGACATGCCCAACATACTTTGACAAGATTCACAAGAAGCTAATTTAACAGCAGAAAATCCAATAAGGATATATTCATGTATGTCTTATCTCTACACAGTGGAAAGAACTTTATGTGCCGACTTCAGTGCATGTTCTCACACTCATCAAGCTCTGAGAGGTAAGGAGACTTATGGAGTGTTTTGCATACATTTCAGTTTTAAAATAGCCAGCCTGCTCCTATCATTTCCATCTATGGCATCATGAAAGGAATCAAATGAACTAGAGACACCATGTTTGCTTTGGCACAGTACACACGCACTCTAACATATCCCATGGTTTGACATTTTTGTATGAAATTTTAAGCACATCTGCTCTGCTTTCTTTATCAAACTGCTTCTGTGTCCTTGCAGCCCTTGCAGTTCACCCCAGCTTTATTTTACCCAAATTTGATTCAGGTTGAGTAACCTAACTTACATTCTCTCCCAGCAGGCTAAGTTTAGAAGATACCCAACAATGGTCACAGTCACTGGAACGGCTTCTCGAGTCTAAATGTAGGTTGCTTTTTCTCCCTAGGATGAGAATACTGCTAGAACAGTTAATTATGTTTGTTAGAGAGTTTAAAGAGAATAATCAGTTGTTTAAAAAGCTTAAAGAGGGGATTATCTGTGCTTCATGCTTGGCATGTTTTCTGTGCTTTCCTCAGATGGACTGGCTACTTTTCGCAACTTTCTCAAATCTGAATACAGCGATGAGAATATTGAGTTCTGGCTCACCTGTGAGGACTACAAGAAGATCAAGTCTTCGTTCAGAATGTCCTCAAGAGCCAAGAAGATTTATGAGCAGTTCATCAAAGCAGAATCCCCTAAAGAAGTAAATCCAACTTAGAAACTTCACACACAGATACACTGTCTCTCTTACATCTTTATATACTGTCAGAGTGAAACATTAAGATACTTATTATATTGTAACAATAAGATATATATTCCCGCTCAAATGTTGAACCCCAAACCTCTTGCTCTTGGCTCAAATGCACTCATTCCGATCTATCTGCCTCATTCCAGATCAACATTGACTATCACACCCGAGAGCAGATCAAAAGGAACGTCAAGACTCCCACCATGTACTGCTTTGACGACGCTCAGAAGATAGTTTATGGGCTGATGGAAAGAGACTCGTACCCGCGGTTCCTCCGCTCAGACATTTATAGAACTCTCTTGGAAAACCTTGCCGCTGACGCCACGAAGGGATGAAGGCGTAGCCAGGGGGAGAGAAAAAGGACATAAAACCCATAACTGGAATGTTTGAGCTCCTTCAGGAGGAAGGACTGACAACAGCAAAGGAAGCGGAGGGTCGACACGGACACATACAGAGACACACCTCGGGGTCCTCACTAGATCAAAAAGCAAACTGTGTCCCAACTAGTCTGGTCCCATCATGGGAGGATGCCCACACTGATCACCTTGCACCTGAGGGCCGTGCAAGAAGTAGAAGAAGAAGAAGAAACATAACTAGCCTTAATGATTATGACCCTGTAGCGTGTGTTTGCACTGGATGTTAAGTCTGTGTAAGTAGGCGATCTGACCACATTTTGACAATTAAGGATTCAGTGGGGCGACCGGCACTCACTCTGACGGTGGAGCTGTGTAAGAAAACCATTCAGCGGACCTCCTTTAACCTTCTTTGCAGAGGTGTTTCCTGTGCAGATAAAGACAGAGGATGTAAGATGCAACAGTTACACTCGATTAGTTGTGTGTTTGTGTGTGTCTTAGAGAGAGAGAATGTGAGTATTAGTTGTAGCTTTTGCCACTGACACAGAATAAGCTGTCACAATAAGAGTTGGCCAATTATCTAATGACAGCACTAAGGAAGCCAAAAAAACAGAGGAATCAATAGTAAAATGTCATCCTTAGTTGCAGGGTTGCAGGAGGGCACTTCGTTCTGGGACACTTTAAATGGATTTAATGGTTTTGTTTTTTTGTTTTAGATAGGGGATATGGGGTTTGCCCATGGTTGATATTCTGTGCTGATATCCAATATCGTTAAGGTTTATTATTTTCAAACTACAAAAAAAGTAAAAGTAGTATTTTATTCCAATAGAAATCCAGGATAAATATATTTTATATGATGACAAAACATAATCATGCACAGTTTTGTGTGGAATCTGAATCAAACCCAGCACTATAGCAACTGAGAACTTTCCATTGAAATTAGACATCTTAATTTAATTCCTCAGCACACAACTGCTGGCCGTTACCTTAGCCTAATCCAGATCCTTACAGCACTGAAGTGTCAAGAGTTGTCATTTTCTGTAATTAACTATTTGAGTGGAATTACTATAGAGATAGAATGTTTCACCTTGCATGACAGGATGTTAAAACTCCTTGTATTCCCTGAGAATATGCCTTGTTGTTGCTTTCCAAAGCATGTTGTTTGAATGTGTTCTTAGGTAGTCCTAGGGGTTAGTAGTTAATTTAACTTAAACGTTAAACAGTGTATTATTTATTGATAATTGTCACCATTTGAGTATAAAGTTTGTTGCGGTGTTGAAGTGCTTGTTAAAATGTTAGTGATTTGAATGACATTAAATTATTTAAATTGCCCACTTGAAACAAAGTGAAATTTCTTAGTAACACAGACAACTCTCTTGTTCCTGCTCTGTTTTTTCCACATTACAGCTTTTAGTACTTTGTGCTCTGAAGTTTAGGCTTGTGGTCTGTTTAAAGAAGAGAACAACACACTTCCAGTGAAATACATCTTAAAACATTGCATTAGAAAATTAATTGGCTGCATAATGATTGTCTGTTATATATTTAAAGCAATACTCCAGCGTCCAAGCATGGAAGCATAAATGCCGTGCCAAGTTCTAGTGGGCCGAAGGCTTATTTTAACTATTATGGAGAAGCAACTACACTGCAGTGTGTTATTGTCAGGAGTTAACACTCCATCCTACTAAGTGACAAAGTGTATATACACTAAATTTTTCATAAATAATGCTAGTGGTTTCTCATTTTAAAAAATAAACCTTGGGAGAAACCCTTCTCGATTAAGAAGGTGGACATTCACAATAAGGAAGTGTGTACAGATATGCAGTAAGTAAGAATATAATCCACCCATAGTAACAAAATATTTTAAAGAAAATTCATCATAATCATCATTTTGTTGGCTTGGAATGTAATTTTCTGTTTTCAAACTTTATGGGACATTACATCAAAGTAAAACTTATCCTTGTGGTATCTGACAAAGGATCTTGAGTGCTTGCAGTTTCCTGTTATCCATTTTTTCATCACTGAAAGGCATCTGTTGACCTGAAAATTAAGTGCATACGTGATATGCACTGTTTGAGAAACAGGAAGGTCTGAACTTCCGGTTTCTTTTGAAATCAGTCATTGTGAGAAATGAGATTTTCTCTGAAATGTAATCCCATGGCAGAATGAACCACTGTGCTATTCAGCCGAAGTAATGCAAAGGTTTGCTTTAGCTGTTTAATTTGCTTCATTCAAATGTTAAAAAAAGTTATGTTATTGATTTGTTTAGGGCAGAGATGCACATAATGCACAGATGTACATAATCATTGCCATCAAAAACAAAAGTGTTAGTCAATCTGCCTTTGGGGTGAAAACATCGGAAAAAATTGAAACTGTACTTGTGATCAGCCAAAATGCACATGACTCAAAGCTGTTTGCACAGAATAGGAAAGCCACAATTAGTGTGTCACTCTGCTTTTCAATTTTTTCTGTTGAGCAGTACAGCACATTGGGGTGATATCCAAGGCTGGAACAGGGACAGAATCCATTTTCTAATACACTCATATAAGAGAGTAATGAATGTTTGAGAAGAACTTGTTAAAACACTGTTTGGTCTGTGCAAGCGTCACTCTTTGAAATACACAAACTAACACATACATGCGTGAATCAGCCTGACAATGTACTTTCTCTGTTTCTCACTGAAATTCTGTCCAGCTGAATAAGCTTCATTTGAACATGTTACCAAAAAAGAATCACATAGCTGGCGATCTAATTGTGAATTTGAATGCACTATGGTCCCACACTGCTTGGAGACTGGATGTTAAGCAAATAAGACATGCAGACGCTACTACATAACAGTCCAAAGGCTGTCACTGCTTCATTTATTTACTCAAAAAAACGATGTGTGTTTTGTATTTTATACAGAAATGTGCATAATACAAATGCACGGATTGCATTTTTTTTGGCCTGTTCCAATTTTTTTAAAGTCTGACCTGACTTCCTTTCTTTAATAGTCTCTCCATTAGCAACAGCATAAGCGTTGGCCCAAAAGTCACTGCTGTGTGCATGACGTAAACTATCGTTAGCTGCAGTATGCATGTAAATTTGACTGGCACAGGACTGAATATGTGACACTGATCGGCCCGGCCGTCGGTCATGACAGATCAAGCTGAAAACAGGCCAATTCCAGCCACTGTTCGATTGATCAGTGCGTCTCTAGTGCATGGCTCTCTGTGCTTTGATCGCAAATCATTCGACATCTCAACAAGGTGAGTAAGTAAACGGAAATATCAGCTTTGATCTCCTCAGACCCAGTTTTATTATAGCAAATTCAGGGCACCTGGGAGATCAGAACATTCCCAACAAAAACAGACCCTGGCCATGCTTATGTAGGAAGTTTGTAAACCTTTGCACTTGCAATACGCCACTCTTATATAGAGGTCATTCTGTGCAAATAGCCTATAAAATAAAACTGATATAGCAAATGTTTGGGAGACTCAGCAAAAGTAGGTAAGCATGCAGGTACGGTCAGCACCATCACAGTAACTGCTTTTCTATATGACACGTTTTAAATGAGAACACATGCAACAGAGTTTGGGATAGGCTGCCTGTTAACAATACAGCAGGTGATTTATTGTAGTACAGGTACAATCTGTGGTTGATTAAATTGCTCACCCATCAACATTGCGTCAGCTTAATTATTTATGTACTTGGTTTATAAATATACATATGGACAGGGCTCTGTTGGCAAAGCGTCATTTCAGTTGGACAACGCCCCACATAAAATATTTGTCAAGTCAAAATATGTTAAAAGCATTTTTGTTAATCAACCATTTGTCTGCATTTCTCGTAATCCTTAGGTCTACATTTGTGAGTCTATATTACCGGTGGGGTGTAGCCTCCATCTACATACAGATAAACAGGTCCTAATATGTTTTAATATTTCTATCTTTTATGTGCTGATTCCTTAAAGTCAGCCACTGTTAACAGGGTGGTTCCTCTGTGGTTTGGTTGTGTACTCTCTGTGCTGACTTCCCCATACAGTACACACACACCTTTACAAGGTTGGAATTTATAATCGTCCAATTGTGGCCACATCATACGTTTCATGCCAAAACTAAAAGTGGTAGATTTTGGTGGAAGTTCTCCATACAAACACTCTCCAAACAGCACAAGATAACTGCTGTTGTTAATAGTAAATGACAATAGAAAGTAAGTAGTGATGTTGCCTTCATTTGATAATCTGAATGAGATTAAGATTGAGATTTTAAAAATGGATCACCACTGACTAGTTGTAGCTGGAGCATCCATGTGTTGATTGCCTTTACTGTGATTTTGAGCTGTTTACAGTCTCCCTTTGTACACCTCTATAGCCTATTAGATCATGGATTGTTTTAAACCATGTGCTCTTTTTAAATTTGTGTTATTTATACAAATCTACAACATCAAGGTGTCACTTAATGTAATGTATTTCTGCTAAACTTGTGAAACCAAAGAAGCCATTATACAAAACATGGGTAATTTGATAGCTTAGTTGGCACATGCTGTCTCTTTCACATTTCAGGATCCCCTTGAAAGCAACACAGTTTGGTTGGCAAATGTACAGTTTTCATTTGGCCACGTTGTCCACAAATGGCTTGTCAGTGATGGCTGTTTAAGAGAGGGGAATCAGCCAGTCAACAATAAATCTGCCTCAAGTGGACATTAAAGGCAAGTGTGAAAAATGCAGCCTACCTTCAAAATGTCCATCCAATTAACGTCACTGTAGCAGCTATTGGTTTTGTATGTGAAAAATTTTCTAATTGGTGTGTCAGCTGGCTGGAACCACCAGGAGAGAAGCCAAAGACAAGGCCAAAAATTACTTGGTGGCTCTGAGAGTGTTTTCAGCTAAATGAGCAACTGTCTTCAGTAGTGCCTTGTGGCAATAAGTTATTGCTACTTTATACACTTTGCTTAAGTATAACCCACATAATGTCACTCCCAAAGCTTACAGATCAATTTGAAATGTCTACATGAAGCCAGAAGTAATTTGAGGAGGTTTAAGACAGTGATGATTCATAAACCAACATTTAAAAATGTACTAATCAGTAAATTAAAGACTTGCTGTGTCTTCTTGTCCTCCTGGCGCCTCTGTCTTTCTGGCATGCAGCCTTCAAACACCGCTATATAGTCTAGAAGAGAGCTAGATGCTATAAAGAAGGATGAGACAGAGAGCGCTCACATATCAACAATTTATTAAATCAGACTTGATCATTGTAACATTTTGTTGTCAGGTGTACAGTCTACTGTACTAAAAAGCTTCAAATGGTTCAGAATGTTGCAGAAGGAATCTTTAACAAAATGAGACCATTTTATCATATTACAGTCATTTTGGTTTCCCTTCATTCGCTCTCTATCCATGTCAGACTGGACTTTAAGGTGCTTCTGATGACTTTTGTAAATGATGATGAAAATTGTAAATGGGCAAACCCCTTAATACTTGGCTGAGCTCCTTAAACCTTATATGCCTTGCTCTCAGCTCTCAGAATACAGGCAGACATGCAACAATGAAACCCATTATTTTCAAAGGCTTGCAGAGAGCACTCAACCCAGCGGCAAGTGCAGCTCAAAACGCATAGAGTCTGAAAGGGTCTTTCAAAAGAAGTCACATGGCACGAAGGGCTTCCTTTGGAATAACATCCCTATTGACATTAGACAGTCTGATTCTGTTGGGACTTTAAAATCCAAACTTAAAAGTCATCTTTTCACCTAAACTTTAGGTTAGCTGCTCATTTTTTATCACCTTGTACCTGCTAACATTACACTTCTGGCGGGTCGGTCTCAGTTTCAATGAATCTATGAAGTTATAGCCCATGTTTGTCCTGGCGGTGAGAATACTGTAGACTTGAAAACCACTTAATCTTTGTAACCCTCTGTCCTCCAAGAGATACACCCTCTCCTTCTGAGGGCAGGACCAGAGCGAGAACACAAAAGGCACAGAAGAAAAGAGGAGGATGAACTATATGTGTCAAACATATTAAAATGTTTTAAGGTCACACCTGGTGGCACATATTCCAGAGAATAATACACCTAACAACAATGAGGGTGGTGATGAGATAACTTGTAGTAGCGTGTCACACAGCCCCAGGTGTGGGCCCTCTCTTATTCTTTGTATCTTGCTGTGTTTTGTCCTTTTAATCCAAGTAATTGGTGGGTGGAGTTGATATCTGGTGTGAGATGCAACACACCTGAGCAGGCGGGGCTCAGGTGGCTATAAAGGAGCCCGCTTGATGATTTGACCCCTCTTCTGCTGGCCTGCCGACTGATTCTGTTCTGTTTGGTTCTTTCTGTTCTACACCCATACACTCCACTCACACATACACTGCATATATACTGATCTGACAGACACCTACAATTGTATATTTTGCTTAATTTACTTATTAAAATATCTATTATTATTTTCAGACTGTGTGGTTTCCCGCTTTTGTCACTTACTGTTGAGCCAGGTTGTGACAAAGCACACTTAGGACCTACTGTTTACTTTAAAAGGCCTATATGGTCCATAGTATTAACTATGTGAAATGCAGCTAACCGATTTTAAAACACTTATGTGAGAGAAGATTAATATTGCTTTACTGTATTTTGGATAACAGTCATAAGTGGTCATTATTAAAGGTAATCAAGTTGAGATTTAGATCCCTCTTTTCTTTCAAAGCATCTTGACAAGTGCTGACAAGCTCAATATGTTGTTTATGTTTCCAGTCTTCATGCTAAGATAATCTTAACACTAGCTTTAGCCTCATACTTGTAAATAAACTTCTACCGTCAGAGGACTTCTTGTATGTACAGTATGTAGATATACTGACTGCGGAGGATTTGTTATTTGATTGTTATTTTGGAGTCGTTGGGGATGTCACATTTCTGGACCGGCTATGTACTGGCTTGTATTGTATTAACTTCATAAATGCTTCTGTGTTTATTGGTATTGTATTTTATTGGCATCACAGTGAATTTTAACTGGC